ATAGAAGGCTTATTCCTTACAAAGGCTGCAGTGAACCAGTGTCCTGTGGTGAAGAGACCTTTCTAGTTGCCCAGGAATTTCAGGTTCTAAATAATTGTTGGGAATGTGCTGTTTTGCATTTGGGTGTTGGTGTTGTTTAATTGTCTTGTGCTTTATTATGTTTATTTGTTGGTTTCAAATCACACTTGTATGTTCTGCAAATTCATTTTATTCACCCTTTTATAGGCTGCCATGGAATCCTGTGATGAGGTTAGAAATATTTAAAATCAAGGCCACATGCTCAGAGACATTAGTGAGAGGCATTATGAGGGAGAAGGGGTGGCGGTGGCGGCAAGGAGAGTTCTGCTTATTAGTAGATGGGGACTCTGCTGAGGCATGAAGGCTGCCCAGCAACACCAACCCCTGAAGGCAGTCCAAAGGAGAGCCAACACAAGGCCACATAAAAGTGGGTCTGGGAAGCAGTGGAGTTCACCTGACTTACCTGGTGTGCCAACAGAGTACCTGCAACATTTCAAAGAGCTGGCACTGCCTGCTCTGGGCCCTTTCATTGGAGCAACAGAGGTGAAGTGTGAGATAGGACTTTTGCAGGTCGTATAGAAATCACAGAATGCCCTCCTTGGAGAGACCAATTAGATTTTATTTTCATATCTGGAGGCACTTTTTAAATTGCTCATTTAAGCAGACTTTTAATATTTATAATGACAATTTTATTATTAGGCTTTAAAATAAAAATAAATAAATAAAAATATGCTTTTTAAATGTTTTCATCACCTTTTTATTATTGATGTTCTGTAATGTGTTTTTAATGTTGCACACCGCCCTGGGATTTTTTTGATAAAGGGCAGATTGTTTTTTTGTTTGTTTATTAAATGAATGAATGTTAGTGCAGCTTTCACCAAGCTGAGGATTACACGGCATGGATCTCACAAAGTGATCTCTAGTCTGTGAAAGTTTATGATGTAAGGCAGCCTTTGCAAAAGTGGTGCCCTCCAAAGGCTTCCGACTACAGCTCCCATCAGCCCTAGCAAGACAACCTTCTTTTCATTCATTCATTTAGAATAGCATTTGCGCCCTGCTTCTCAGGGTCAGAAAGGCTTCCAGTGTGGATGATTTACAAAAGATTAAAACAAACTGAAAGACTTGCAACTAAAAGCCGCAACACAAAAGGAAAAAGGGGTGAAGGGCGAAGCAGGTGGAGAGAAAACCCAGGCACCAATTCTTAAAGTTAAATAGTTTTCATAATGACCAGCTGGAATTGAAAGATTACATTCTCTTGGAATGGAGGATTCTCTCAGGCTACAATCCTTCCTTCCTAGGTACTATATGCAAAGTGGAATTGGTAGCATATGTTGGCTATGTTAATAAAGTTTTAATTTAGGCACACCTGTGCCTCACCATATAATGTGGAACTGATCATTACTCCCGCAAACAACAAATGCAGCCTATGGAAAGTAGAACGGTGGGTTTCAAGGCTAGTAACAAACAAGCATCATTTTTAAAGAGCAATTATCTCCCTCCATCAAATGGGGTAATAGAGATACTCTAATTACCAGACACGACTATTGGGCAACTGGGGATTGTAAAGTTCGCTTTTAGCAGCAGCCGTTAAAAGACACTCTCTCTCCCTCCCCCTCCCTTTATTAATTTATTTAAAGCACCTGCCCCATGCATTTGCCCAAAAGGTTCTCAGGACGGCTTACAAATCAACAAGAAAAACTGCCATTAGACTATCTCTAGAATAATTACCATTTATACTAGTTAAACTCCAGCAATCCATAAGCAGTAAAATGATATATAGTTCAGCTAAAAGCAGGCCCCTTCTTGCATTAAGAAGACGAGAATGAAAATGCACCCTCTGCTGCTTTTTGGAAGGCGAGGGTGGGCTTGGTCTGCCAGAGCTTCTTGGGAATTGATTACAAAGCGATGAGCCTCCCACTAAGAGAGACGCTGTTTAATTCTGGGCGAGGAAGAAACCTCAAAGATCGCTGTATGAAGGCAAACACATCCCACATAAGTAACTAATCCTCACCCCTTAGGTGATTCGGACACTAACTAAAGGCCTTTGAGTTTAATACACCACTTTGTAATGGTATTCAGAAACTAATCAGGAGTTTTAGCACAGGGTACTGGTCTACCAGATCAGAAGGTTGGTGGTTCAAATCCCCACGACGGAGTGAGCTCCCGTTGCTCGGTCCCTGCTCCTGCCAACCTAGCAGTTTGAAAGCAGGTCAAAGTGCAAATAGATAAATAGGTACCGCTCCGGTGGGAAGGTAAACAGTGTTTCCGTGCGCTGCTCTGGTTCGCCAGAAGCAGCTTAGTCATGCTGGCCACATGACCTGGAAGCTCTCTGCAGACAAACGTCGGCTCCCTCAGCCTATAGAGCGAGATGAGCGCTGCAACCCGAGTCATCTGCGACTGGACCCAACGGTCAGGGGTACCTTTACCTTTACTTTTACTGGTCTACACAGGCCACAGGCACTAAATCCAGGATGATTTGAAAAGAGCTTTGCCCTAATGCAGCCTTCCCTGTTATGGTATAGGGTGGGACTGATGGGAGTCCAAAATATCTAAAAGGGCATCAGGTTGAGGAAGGCTGCACTAGCAGATGACCTGCCCTAGGAGGAGGAAGAGGATGGCTATGGAAGTGCAACTCTGTTGGTTCTCCTGAATCTGTCAGCAGCTTTTCATTCCATTGGCCATGGTATCCTTCTGCACCAACTAGTCAAGATGGTTCTGGGAGGCAGTTTCATGGAGACTTGTCCTTCCTGCAGTGAAGGTCCCAGAAGGTACTACAGGGAAAGTGCACAACCCAACAGAACAATGAAAGGCCGACCGCAAAGTTGCTCACGACCATCTCTAAAAAGGAGTTTTGAAGAATCTACAGGCAAAGGCTTAAGTTCCACAGTGGAAGACAACTCTTGGGTCACCTGCATGCATCACATCATGGACAAGATCCTCAGGGCATACCTCTCAGATTACACATGGATGCTACACTTATGCTCCTCAAACACTGATGTCCCAAGGGACCCTCTTCTTTACTTGCTTGTGCAGTTGCCCTGTTGCTGGTGGGTGGATATGTTACATATGATCAGGGATGCTGCAGACTGTTACTGACATGTCTTAGAAGCACATCTAAATCTTGGATTCCTACAGCTTCTGCCTGCCATGTGAAGCTAGCTAGAGCAGCTACTCAACCAATCAATCTGTTCTAAGAAACTGAAGCTCACAAAGTAATCCTTTAGCAGCTACTCTATTCTGCAACATCAAAGGTCCTTGATAGCTCACTTTTATCTTATTTATGTGTAGCTGATCTGTATGCCTCCAGAAAGTGGCACCTTTGCCTTAACTCACCAAGAAAAATGGGGGAGTGGGAGGCACTGCACAATTTTGAAATAGATACCACATGCATTAAAAGTCAAATTACAGATTGCCATAATAATAAGCTATTATGGTGGTGGGGGGAGTGTTTAAAAATATAGTCATTGTTCTTCGTGCCTTATGTTAAAAATAACTCCATTAAATGACTTGCTTTTGCAATTAAGGCTACCCATCAAGCTTGAAGATTATAACTGTTTTTTATTGCCATAAGAATAAATCCATGTTGTACAATACAGGGCCACTTAAAGGAAAGTTATGCAGCTATATTTAAAGATTGTTTCCAGCAAATCAAATAAATGCATTATGAAACAATGTTTGCAACTGGAAGATCTATTATTTTTGCTCACTTTTGCAGTTTTGCCTCCCTACTTTCCTATTTGCACCAACAACAGCAGGAGGGTCTTGCTTTATTTCTTTATACCTTGAGTCAAGTGAAGCTCCACAGGTCCTGGAGCAATGACTGAATGTAGCGGTGGGTTGTGTGAGGGCCAATAAGCTGAAGGTGAATCTCAGTAAAATGGACTGAGTGTGTGGCTTGGATAGCTTACCTGAAAAGGATGAGGATGAACTCCGTCTGCAACAGGGGAACGGAACCACCAGCCAACGGGTCAAATTTGGACCAGGACAGGTCCCAATATGGCCTACACTCACCAGCCTCACACCTGATGTCCCATGTGGAACTCAAACATGCAGCCGATCCCTGTAGGAAGCTGCTTTCTCCACCCTATGCTTGGGACTTGGAAAGCACCAAGCGGGCCTGGCAAAGCCCCTTGAGCTGCAGCTTCCAAGCACCCAACAACCAGCTGGCTTTTGGGTGCTTGGGAAGTGCTGTGTAAGAATCTTTACAGGTTGCCCCACCCACCTGTCAAGGATCTGGGCTGTTAGACCCAAAAGGTTCCCCACCTGTGCTCTGAAGAGTGGTTTACCAGGGAAAGCGGAAGGGCAAACAGAAAGCTCAGACCCATGCTTTCTAGAAGTGGGACAAAAAACTGTGGACAAACCTATAGTCTGTAAGTTCTGCTTGATTTGCTGTTGCTGCTGGAGGCTGAGCTGGCTTCCACATCAAGGAGCATCATTTTCCAGCTATGGCACGTTTGCCAGCTATAGCCATCCCTTCACAGGAGAACCTGGTGAAGTGAGCCATGCACTGTTAACTTCAAGGTTGGGCTAGCGCAATCCACTCTGTATGGGGCTGCCCCTGAACTTGGTTTGGAAGCTGCAGCTAGTGCAGAATGCAACAGCTAGGTTGTTAGCTGGAATGCCTTACACCACCAGAATGCAACAACTATTCTGAAAGAAATGCATTTGAGCTGAAGCATTTGGGACTATTGGTTTTGCAGGTGCCTTTCTGTAGTTAATGAAGAAACATTTGCTTTCTGCTTTTGCATGCTACAAGCTGATTTTGGAGGGGATGGAGAGGCCTGCTGCTAGAAAGAAGACTCTGGATCAGATATTCCTTCCCAATCTTATGGTCCTATTGCATTTTACTAGCAAAATGCTATCAACCAACTCTGCAGGATACAGGTTGTTGGAAAACTAAGTTTAGTAACTTTTTGCAACTTCAATGAAGCTTCGGGTCTACCTTGAACCTCTTCATACACAATACATCTAGACAGTTCCTCTTATAACAATTAACAACGCTTTTATTGCTATGAACAGCTTAACAGAAAAACAGAAAAATCTGTCATGTTAGTATTCTGTATGCAGATAACACCAGTACCGACCCAACTTTCATCTTATAACATCAGTTTTTTTTACCACTAGGGTCACTCTCTCTTACCCCACACAACCACATCTAATTTCAAAAAAACCCAGAAATAGTGGAACTTTATTCACTTGTATCTCTCACCATCAAACCCTTTTGTTCAGGAAGTTATTAAGCATGAATTTGCATTGTCATACTGGAGAATGCTTGTTTTCAGGCTATACTGAAAATGTGCTTGTGGTGTGCCAATCAGCTTTGCCACAGACACTGTTTGAGATTTTGCATCCCAAGGCTCACACCATTTACAGAACCAATCAAGATGAACCACAGTGGCAAATGCATTATTTTAAAACCCAGATCTGCTCTGATCATTTAGAAACGAGGGAGTCCAATTTGAAGGGTAACGGAGGGTGATAAACCTTCCACCTCTTGCAGCTTACACAGTCTGTTCCCCAATGTGATTTCCCCCTACCTGAATGCTGTTGTTGTTGCCATTAGAATTCCCACCTGCTGTTTACAATATGGTTGGCAGAGATCCAAGTCTCAATACATTGACCTGCGACTGTTGATTCCAATTTGGTAGCAATAAAGCTTTCCAGGAAAATACAGGTGGCCCTTTAACAAGTGGTGTGCAAACATTACTTGGCAAACCAGTCCATGTGGTATCATCTTCCTAACAAGAGGTGAAGATCACATTATCTCTCCCACTGGTTCTCCAGTTTTCTGGCCAGGTACAGAAGCATGGCAAGATTCTCCATGGCAGGACAATACAGCTGACTGACTGACCAAAATTGTTACGTGAATGCTTAGTAAAGTTGGCCATCAGTATTCACCTCTTAGTGGCTTGCAAAATCATCACCAGTGGTCATAATGTTTTTTTCACCACAAGCACATTCTGAATGTTGATCAAATCTTGCCAGAGGACAAGGATTATGAGAGTCATGAACAACAACAACAAAAGCAAATATATATTTAAAAAGTTGGAAAAGCACAAATTCAATATTAGGTTCCCCCCCCCCCCACTTTTTCCCTGAGATAAATTCTTAATTGCATTAGAAGATGGCTGCCATGCCTCGCCACAATCTTTAAAGCCACCTTTCCCTTTCTTTGCATTTTGTTTTTAAACAACTACAGTTTAGTCCTTGAGGGCCACAAGGCTCTTAGGGCATCTGTGTATTAGGCCCCTGAGTCTGGAGATGGGACTCAACCTGCTGGATGAGGGATAAAGTTTCCTGCAACAATGAGTTGGGTTCTCCAGCAACATATGCAATGCAAGGAATCTGGGGCGAAGATAGAACCTGCGACACTTCGCAAGGTGGCAAAGCATCAGCACAAAGGATGCTCTGTAAGAATGAGGAATCTATTATGTTTGCTCCATCTGCTTCATGCTGATCTGGGCACACAGGCTCAGAAGACAAAAGAAGCTCAATAGTCTTCCAGATATGTGATTGATCAGAATCACCACAGAGCTGCGCAAGATCCCTGTCCTGATGTGGCTGTGCTCCCAAGATTCCCAGACTCAAGTTGTTCCACTGTTCCACTGCCCAATAACTACTTAGTGACTGGTGAGTATCACCTACAGGAAAGTGGTGGGCTTCATTTCCTGCCTCTTCATGCTGCAAAGAGGAAGGATCTCTATGAAACGTCTCTCCACCAAGCTCTTCAGGGTGAACAAAGACAGCATCAGCTGCTAAAGGCTCTTGTCTTGGAAGGACTAGCAAGGGCCCCTCATTTCCACAGAGAAGGCTATCTATGGACAATTGTGGTGGTGGCCATGTCTGGCAAATGTCCACTTGTGGAAGAGAAAAGCTATCAGCTCCAGTGCTGTCCTTTAAAGTGATATTCTTTCTTCTGGCTTTTGGTAAAGGATTAGACATTGTTTCCAAACTGCCTGTACATGTTCTCTTGGGCAGAATTAGTCCCAGCAACAAAGAAGGGTGGCATGGCTCAAGCCCTATGGAAAGAAAGAAAGCAAATAAACGAAATGACATGTTTCTGTAACTCTAGTGACAACCCAGAGACAAAAGCATGAGAATCTCAGCTGTTCTTAAAACAGGTGCCTTAGCTCCTAGAAAACTACAATAATTTGACTGCAGCATGCACCCCGACATTTTAAAAGCAAACTGGGGGGAGGGGCAAATCATTCAATAATTTAAAAAAATCAAGTCCTTAAACCCACTAGCAATCATCTAACCTGTTTAGAAAAAAGCAGATGTGTACTGCTTTAGAAAATGTAAAATTTATGGTGTGTGTCTAAGGGTTTAACACCAGACACAGACCGAAGTGATGTAGTAGAATAATCCTTATTATGAAACTTCATTTACATGATGGAATCACTTCAATCAATTTGGTGCTTCCCACTGCCCTGCCTGCCTCTCTTCATCCCCTCACATCAGTACTAGGAAATAGCATTCTTGATAAATGGACACATGATTCCCTAGTGCTTTGCAATGAGAAATAAAAGGATACCACCACTTCCAAATGTCAACAAATACATTTTAATATCCTGCTCCAGCCAGATGATCAAATTCTGTGCTGTCTCAGAATAGGCGTGCAAAGGTCATACCAGATAACATGATGAAAAAGGCCAACGGCAGAGGGATTCAGAAAAGTGGACTTTTTAAGATGACCAGCAATTGAAGGATTCTGCTCAGAGGGGCATACACATATCTGCCTCATATGCCAAACATTCAAGATTCATTTTCAAACTCTGGGAAGCTCCATCACTCCAGAAGCTCCAATATGCATACAGTGGTTCCAATGAGTACAGGCAGCTCCACAAAATCAGTAATGATCCAATTTGCTACACAAACCAGCTCCATGCGCATACTGGAGTCAGGGCCAACATCTAGGGAGGACTCAGAAGCCCCAGAATCCTTCAGTGTACTCCTTATTTTCTTTCCATGGCCTGTATTCTCTGGCAGATATTTTGCAATAATATATGCTAAACATCTGTTTCCTAGTTCCAAAATTTGGATTTGTTTTGGTAACAAATATACAGAGCCTTGGCACTCTTGCCATTAGCACATGGCCTGGGTATTTTTCACTGAGTTACTCCAAGGGAAATGTCATTCTTCACATCATCCAGTACGTTATCTCTGGTGAATCAATGAAAATAATAAATGAATGGAAATAAAACTTACCCACATGACTGAAAAAATGAAAGTTTACTAGCCCCTTCTCTCTCCCCGCCCCGCTTTCTCCCCAACTCTCTTCTCCCCCAACTATATATGTATACATCAAAGTTTCACATCGAATATAACTGATCTGTAGAAAGAACTTTATGATCTGAAAATAGAGATGATGTATGTACTTTTGTAAGCCCAGAAAATCTTTACTAAAAAACATTTTTTTTAAAAGTCCTCTTGTTTGCCTTTACACCTTCTGCCTATCAGTGTCATTAGATTTCTACAAGCTTCTGTATGCTGAGAAGTAAAATTTCTCTTTCGTTTACCCTCTCTGTGCCACGGTACAAATAATCTTATAAACCTCTATCATGCCCTTCCCTCCTCGGTCTTCCCCACCCCCAATCTAACAAGACTGCTTATACAAACAAAATTCATGCAGAAAAGAAATTGTAGTAGAATAGCCATATTAGTTTACAGTGGAAAGGAAAAACTGAGTATTGACTTAATGTGGCACAAAGTGTGTTTTCCAGAAAGATATCTATGATAATTGTTCAATTCCACTTCCATGAACTTCAAGAAAAAGGAGAAAGATTTGTTCCCAGTTCCTACCTGGACCACCAAATGCGTGCAGTTTAGAAGGCACAGGCTGGTAAGCTGCTAATGGCACCATGAATATCTCCATCTGGTTGCTGTCCACGATGCCATATCTCTGTTTATTGTTCAAGTAGGAATACAGAGTGTTATAAGGGTCGAAGCCTTTGGGTAAGCTGGGGTGGAATCTTATCACTCCCATCTCCTGCGCAAACATGGGAAGAAAAAGAAAGGAAGCTATTATCAGGGAGTACAGAGCTCCTATGAAAAGGAACATTTTGCCTATTGAGCACCTGCTCTTCTTGTAAGTGTCAGGGCATTCAGGCCCACACAACACAGCTGCCAGATCAGGAGGGGCTCTGTGGCTGAAGAGCTTTTCACACCTCCTTTGGAAGAAAGCCTAACACCTCCCTTCTACCATCTGACTTACTGCGGCTGGTGCACCACTGTGGCCTCAAGCAACCCTACAGATCAGGTCAGGTCAGGATGAAAAATTTCTTCAATCAAGAATAAGGGTGGCAGCAGGGAATGGCTCATCAAGTCCGGGGCCTGGAAATCACATCCACTCCTGTAAGGTTAGGTCATGCTGGACTGTTTCTAGCTGCAGTTTGACTCAAAGCCAGAAGGCAGGGCCTGAAGATGAGTGTCTTGTCTGGCTCCCTGCTACCACTTTATAGTTGTTGGTAACTTCTAGGCTGCCACATCTGGCAGCAACTGGGGGTGGGTTGGGGGACATCAGATGCTGCACAAGATATCTGGGAGTTCCCAAGTGGTGTCCACTCCAGTTGTAGCCTCTCTGACGGAGAGGGAAGAAGAATGCATTTAGTTTCCAGTGGATGTGAAGCTTTGAGCCCTTCTGTTCCCACATTAAGCTTCTAGTTCTTGCATTCTTTATCTCTTTCTTTCTATTTGTACTTTTATTTTTTTGTATACATTGCTCACTTCTAGACATTAAGAGGCTCCGAGAAATAACCTTCCCTAATCAAGGCAGGAAGATGACAGGAGTTCAAGAAAGATCCTGCCTCCTCAGGAAGTGTTTGTTAGCCCCAGCTACTCCAGCCCACAGTCTGGTCCTTTACTATCTGCAACTGCAACACTTCTGGAAACAGGAAAGCGTAACAGAAGAGAGTTCTGGATGGTGCTCAGGAGGCACAAATCTGCACTGGATGTTCCTGATGGGGCTGTGGGAACCTTCAAGGTCAACTGTGGTATCAAATAAGCAACAGAGCCTGATTAAAATAAGAACCTTTCAGAGAGATACCTTGCTGTTTGCTGGCCATATGCTGTCTAGATAGGACCAGACATCCTCCGGGAGAATACAGCCCCTTCCCTGTAGAAGATGTGGTAAGGCCTGGATGAATCACAAGAGCATAAAGGAAGATCACTATCATAAGAGAAATCCACATGTCTGTGATTTAATTTGGTTTTCCAACAATACACTGATCTAGAGGAAACAGATCTAGAATGAACATTATCTTAGCAGCCGTTCTAGGGCTGTTTTAAGGGCAGCAGTTCTCTCCTTACTGAAGATGGGGAGTGAGGGGAGGCTTCCTAAAACTTTCATGGAAGGAATATGATTTGAAGCATGGATTTTTCATCTCATAATTTACTGTCTTAGTACACTACACCAGCTTTATGACTTATTGTCGCAATATCAGAATCCCTGGAACATCAGTTTCAACTTAACCAGGGAAGAGTAGAAAGATACCTTATTTTGTCCTCTCTTTTTACCCTGCTGCTCTAACAGAGACAGTAAGGCCTATTTAGCTGTTGCTTATCCCTCCTCCAGAGCTATTAGGACTTGGTCAGCAACATAAAAGGGATGCTCCGATAAGAGTAGTGGCAAACTTGCTGAAAGTTCTTAAATGGGTGGAGGGAATGTGGAGGTATTGCGCTGTACCTAATCTAGCCCTGCTCATACCCAGTAGAGGCACTTACACTTGGACTACTGGGGCACAACCCTCCCAAGGAGAATGTCAAACACATTTTTAAAGGACCCCCCTCCCCAATTTCAAAGCCACCCATTCTTTCCTGTCCCTCTGGAGATATTTCCATCCATCTCCTTTTCTCTGGCCAATCTACTCTCTGTATCACTTAGCCACACTTAATCCAAAAGTATTGGATAGTAAAGAGGTCCCTCCCATGTTCCTCAAGGAGAACTGCCAGTTTTTGAGCCCTGCTAGAAAAATGCAACCTGTGCTGTTAATAAAGATAGTGCAACTCGTACAGCATGTAGGCGAAAAATATTCAGTTGTTCAAAAATAATTTTACACCATTTATCAAATATGTGAGAAAGAGACAATTACTTACAAAGTGCCATGAAAACTTACAAACTACCTAAAATAAAATGAACTTGCAATATCATATTTATGGGCTCTGGCTGAACAGTTTCCCCCTCCTTCCTGTTATGAAGGCAATCTACATTGACTATAGAGGACCTAGTCTGTTCCAGCCTTATCAAATCATACAACTGTTCTGAGCAAACTCAGAGCCATTTCCCTGAAGGCCAGATCTCCTCATAGGTTTTAGCAGTACTTTTTTCTGGAAAAAATGTGGAGGAACTCAACACAAAGCTTGTCTGTCTGTCTGTCTGTTTGTTTGTTTGTTTAATGCGGGATCCAGTCGCAGTGCCACACACACACAGGCAGTAGTTAAATGTAAGATGTGATTAATAAACTCAAGCAAACAATGATTTGGATTAGAAATGGCCACAACTTTATTGATTACAGATATAGGTGGATTTTTGGCTCAGGCATTAGGTGTATATCTGTTTCAGGGCCCCCCCCCAATTTTTTAATTAATTTTAAAAAGGTAAGGGAACCAAGTTCCTGCTCAAAAAAACCCCTTGGATTTTAGTAACCAGAGAATTAACATGTTTCCTTCCCCAAAAGAGCCTTTTTATTTTAGTATTTTGTTTTGTGACTTTGCTAGAGAGCAACCAAGCAAGCAATAGCGGGCACATTGTGAGTCGTTTTCCTTTAAAAATATCTATTTTTTTATTTGGTCACTTTGCATTTATTTTTGTGAATTTTCTGGGAGAATGGTGGATAGCTTGTGTATGTATTGCAGCGAACTGTGCATTAACCATTTCCCTGTACTCACTCATTAAAAGCTGCAGCAGGTGTTGGTAAGGATTCTTTTAATTTAGAAAAAAAATGTGTTTTGGATAATGAAAAGTTAAAATTGATTTGGGGTGAGGATAACTACATGCAACTGGAAGCAAGTGTTCCTCACATTTTAAAACGTTTTGCATGTTTCTTTAGTTCTTTGGAAATGGATATGTAGCTGTAATCAATACACGAATTCACAAACTTATGCTGTGAGGTCTGCCTTAATTTCTAAATAAGAGATATGCAGTCAATATTGTCTGAAAATGATACTTGAACCCTCTTGCTTAGGAGCTCTTCCCGTCCATAGATGTGCAAAGAATAATGGGTGTTTTCCATCAAGGAGACGGTGGCAATCTGCACGTCTGTAATGGCACACTTTCTTAAATAAGTGTTGTATGAGTCCTATTGTGATGAAACAAGGTTCAAAACTGCAACCTGCCATGGGCCAGGAGTCAGCTTCTCCTGCTGAACAGCAGCCTGAAGGGGGAGAAGGCAGAGTGACTCCACATGCAGCTGATCAGCCTTCAAGGACACAGAGAAGGCACTGATGAGAACCAGCTGGCTCCAGCCTTCTTAAACAGAGCTCTCAGCAGCAGTCAGAGGCTGGAAACAAAGCCTGTGGTTCCTGGCCCTACCTTGCTGCTTCCTGCTCTCTGTCTGGACCCTTGGCTTCGTGATCATCTGATTCCCCAACCTCTGGATTGTCTATGTGGATTGCTGTTTGCCCAACCCTTGGAACGGACTTGACTTTGTATGCTGACTCTGCCAGGTGCATCTCAAAGACTCTTATTTCCTATTTGTTTGGGCTTGCACTCCACCGAGCTCTGCACGCTGTTGCTTGGCAACGGGACTATGACACAGCACTACCAAGTCAAAGTGTTACCAGCCACCACTGCTCATACCTGTGACAGATTACAGCTGGATCCAGAAACAGGATATGCTTTTGCCACAAATTGCTTCACACTGAACATGTGAATGACTCCTTCCCAGATGGCGGAGTTCCTGGGCTGCTTCTCCACTCGTCGATGTTTCTTTGGAATGTGAGGTGAGATGGGGCTAAAAGAGATGAGGAAATATGCAAATCCAGTTCTGTTCAGAATCGTAGAACTGGAAGAGACCTCGAAGACCATCTAGTCCAACCCCCGGGGCTCAATGTAGGATCTGCAATACAGGATCTGGCAACTACAGTGGTGCCCCGCAAGACGAACGCCTCGCAAGACGAAAAACTCGCTAGACGAAAGGGTTTTCCGTTTTTTGAGTCGTTCCGCAAGACGAATTTCCCTATGGGCTTGCTTCGCAAGACGAAACGTTTGTTTCCTTTTTCTTAAAGCCGCTAAGCCATTAATAGCCGCTAAGCTGTTAATAGCCGCTAAGCCGCTAATAGCCGTGCTTCGCAAGACGAAAAAACCGCAAGACGAAGAGACTCGCGGAACGGATTAATTTCGTCTTGCGAGGCACCACTGTACAACATCCCGAACAGATGGCTATCCACTGTGCTTAAATACCTACAGAAAAGAAGAACTCGCCACTTCCGGATGCACGCTCCACCATCAAATAGCTCTTAGGAAATGTCTCCTAATGTTGGCATTCTGCCAGCTCTTGAAGACACACCTGTTTACGCAAGCATTCCTCTGAACTGAACTTCTGGTTTTATTGTTTTAAAAAGTGTTTTTAAATGTCATTCTTTTCAACTGCTTGTTTTATTGGGTCCAATCCAAACAGACACAAAGGAATGTGGTAAATGGAGCCTGCTATTCCTCCTGCTCCTCTCGCTGCTAGCTATCCCAAAGAGTGCAGCTATTGGCTATTCAAAGCGGGATCGGCAAGGCTGGGGAAGAACATTTCAAGCTATCGGGACACTCTGTTGTGGACCTTAAGGTAGCTATCCCTGAACAAAGGAACTTCAAAGGGAAATCCCAACATGAAACGCCCGAGTTACAATTTATCAAGAAATTTGATTCTAGTTCATTTGGGCCTGAATAGAGACAATTGTTTCCTGTCCAGCTACAGGTGTTCTTTTACTCAGCAATGCTAAGCAGATTCTCTTATCACCAATTGTTGTAATGTTTCATAGTGTTTGCATACAGTTAAGCTCTAATGAAATTGGCACAGGCTGTACTTTTGTACTTCCTTACCAATGAACTCCAGTTTTTATACTCTCTCACCCCCCCCCCAGACACATACAAACTGAGAGGTACTGCAATGCATCTGATGAAGTGGACTCTAAATCCATGAAAACTAACACCATAATAAATTTATTAGTCTTTAAAGTGCTTTTTTTCTTTTCTTTTCAAGAGACTAACAAAAGTACCCCTCTGGAAGTTGTTGCAATGGAAGCCATCTGTTTCTGTGGATCATTGTTTTTTAAACTTTTGTTAAGTCAGAACGTTCAGAACTATTCCTCAACAACTCAGCCAATAACAGAGGACATACTGATACCAAATACGACAGCCAACAACTACAAAAGTTCCAAAAACACCAGACTAAGTCTCAGAATTTTTCTTCTTCTATCTGTTGGATGGGTGGTAGAAGAGTAAGAATCACATTTCTCCTATAAATCTAGATATGCTGTGCTTTATTATCTCATTTCTCTCTAAAAGGCTATCCAATGGAAATTTTCCTCTTACCCTTGTATGAAGGGAAAATGGCAATGCATGCCTGAGTTACTGCTACAGCTTAAAAGTAACTGTTGATATCCACCAAATGAACAGAGCTTCACACATCTCCGACTGACTTATTTCTTTTAAGGTTTTAAAAGTCTTGCGTTATTTATGGGGTTTCTATCATCAATATTAAAGTTCTGTGGGTTGAGAAGTATGAATTATACAGACCTGTCCACATGCAGAGGCCTTTCTCCTTCCTCTGAGTACATGGTGCTTGGGTGCCAATGTTTGGTGGCATTTGCTTTCTGTTTTAAAGCGTGCTTGTACGTAGGTGGCTTAAATCCCTGCTCACCGCCGGCAGTAATTTGTCCTAGAAAGCCAGAAGGAACAGTGCTATTTCCCCCCCACATTAAAAGATTCTGAATCAATTTTCAAGAATACTTTTACTCCATTGTCAAATTTAATTGGCAGGCCCAAGATTTTTCTACTGCTGCTTGGATTTGAAGATTGACTTTGGAGTTTTGTATTTGAAGAAGTAATAAATAAAAACTCACAAACTCAGAAGGTCAGTCTTATAAAGAACGGCTGGAATCTTTAATTCAGTGGTCCAAAAAAGCAATCCCTCTTTTTGCTGCAGAATCTTAACAAGTTTGGTAACTTACCAAAACAACTAAGATAGTTAGGATCCTCAGAACGATTCCGCTGAACATCATCTGGGTCTCTCACAGATACTCTAGGAACCTCAGAACTATGGTTCACCTCTTTGGGTGACTGTGATCCCTAAAAATAATGCAAGGTGGCAAGTTACTGGGCCCTTAACTTTTGGTTTCACTGACTACAATTAGTCTCATTAGTTAAACAACTCAACAGTCAATTAAATGGGGGGGGAGCCAATTTAAAGTTTGCAGCACTTGTAAGAGCTATTGTTGACTCCTTTACAGCATCTGGCAAATTATGCGGCTCTCTGATCCTATCCAGAACAGGCTCTAACCAAAGCACTACTGAAAGCATAATCAAACTCACTAACAAAAAGTCTAAGGGACTGTAGTGTAAGGTGCACCATTACTTTTAAGACCTGCACCCCCAGGGTCCCTACGCAGGTTCTGCAGTACAGGCAAGTGCAACCCATTGCTCTTCTTTTATAGTGATTACAGGAAATTTTAATGACAAGCAGGGCAAAAGTCTAGGGCCACATTTAGGCTCTGTTTTTGCTGCACCTGCTTGGACTCAAGGAAGTGGTGCAGTTAAGTAGTTCTCCACTACCCAACAAACTGCACAGAAACCTGTGTCAGAAATTCATCACATGCAGCTCAAATGCCTGCTTCATGCAATCTGGTTGATCTCAGGCACCTGTATATTTTCCCTTGAGCATGAAATGATTTGCACAGTGTATGCTCAGTTGGTTGTGCTTGTCTGAACATCGCTATCTACTCACAAATATTTCTTGGAACATCAAGTCCTCTTCTGCTTCTCTCTCTATCTCTACAATTCCTTTGTGGTTGAATTTTGCAGAGCAACACCTTGGTGCTTCTTGTTCCTCTCTCTCTATTATTTCCAGCGCCTGCAAATAGCACAGTGATGTAGCCATGGCTCTAAATATGCACTTTGGGGGGCCACTTCACATATAATGCTTTTGGGCTTACACTTGATATATAATGCACAAATGCAATAAACATGTGTTTACCAAGATAGTATCATACACATACACTTGTTATGGAACCAGGGTTGGCTATGACCTGAAGCATACACTCAGTGGCACAGGTTTGCCACTGCGTATGTGTGAAAGAGTCCTAAGGCTAGGATACACATGGAAAAATAAAGCCAAACATGTCGCACCGCTGGGCTTCTATTAGGACATATTTTTCTCTAGTAAGTAAACTGCCGTCAGATAAACATAGAGCAAGCTGCTGACTCAGAAACAACTTTGGGGTCCAAGCTGGAAACCGATTCGCTCTGCATTGCCTTTTCGTGGGCATAAAATGATTACTTACACGTTTGTTCTCTTTGGCTCTCCACTCTGCTAGTTCTGGGGGTGCCATCTCAAAGGAGCTCATCTGAACTAGTCTCTTGGGGGTAATCTCCCCAAGTATTAATTTGCGGAAGAGGTACTGAAATAAAGTGAAACAAGCAATCCTCGTTGGAAAGACTATTTATTAGAATAACAATAAATCAATCCACAGCAGCAACCTTTTGCAGGTTGTTTAAAAAAAGGCTGAGAGAGTGAGCCATTTTGCATAGTCAAGGATATCTTACTAGCACAGCCAATTTAAAAAATAACAGTGATGGCTGGACACATCTTTCAACCCTAGATAGGGAATAAAGATTACTTGATGACAAGTGTAACGAAGGGTACAAGTCAACAAAACATAGGGGGAGAAATGTCTATCTTTCACCGCGATTTACAATCTTTGCTTAACAAGGAGAATCACACTGCCCATTAAAAATATCAAGAGGCAAATAAAGAGTTTTGTGTGCTTTTTCATTTTGTTTTTCTGACCTGGTTTTCTGCAGATTTTAAATTGAAGAGCAGACTGCGGTACTTGTTCTTGTAGTTTTGTTCAACACAGCAAAACCGTTTGAAAATCTCCTGCTCCACTTTCTTTGCTATCTTCATAACTGCTTTTTTCTGTACACACAGGTCAGGCAAATCATCCAACCTGAAACACAGAAGGCAAGGAATGTGTTGATTTACCTAGACAGGGCATCCACACAAGGCCTGATCTGCAAACATGTCTGCACTTTCACAAATAAACTGGTCAGTGGGCCAAGCCCAGAGTCCACAACATCTCAATGCAACAGATAAATGTGTAATGCCAGTGTGGTATAACTGCTAGAGTTATTGACTTGGGCCATTGTGAGGATATCATGGGATATCATGATATGTATCATGTCTTGTACTTTTTGAAGGAATGGTGGGATAAAATGAATAATGCTACAAATGTTTCAGATTAACTTTACCACCTTACAATCAAGACTCATACATAAGTTCCTTTCCTGTGTAGACTGAGATGTCCAGGCATTTTTACCTTTTCAAAAGAGCTTCCCTCAAGGCATCCACAACCTTACGACGACTTTGTTCCTGAGTCAGCTGAGAACTGTGAACTGGAGCTGGTGCCTTATTAGGTCCCTGGCGTCTCTTATTCTTCCTTGTCCTATTATCATCTTAGAACAAAAGAAAGAACTTTCAGATCTTCCAACATTCTCCCAAAGGAACTTACAGAACAGAAATTATATGAAGACCCAGTACTGCCTGCTTTTAAGGCAGGGGTGTGGAACCTCAGGCCTGGGGGTCAAATGTAGCCTTTCAGACATCTCTGTATGACCCTTGGAACTCTCCAGACCACACCCATCACTGGCCTTACTTTAAAGCAAGAGCATTTTTGCCTTATGTGCTTGAACTATGCGCCCCTTGTTTTTCTTGATGGAGGGGGGGGTGGAGAAAGTAGTCTACAGTACAAAGGTAAAATTTCTATTTGATGCTCTGCCCAGTTTTGCCTCCGGCTCCACCTACCACTGGCATGTGGCCTTCAGAACACTGCCTAGAATGGAACAAACATTGTTCCCCATCTGTTTAAGGGGTTAAGCTTTTCAGAAAAATCAATGGCTACATTCTCAGTTATAGAAGTGAGAAACACACATGCACTCAAAACAGCCAACACTCATTTTCTTCTCCCAGCTGAAGACTGCTCTCTAGTAATCAGCAGCCAAAAGCAAAATATATCATAAAGGTAAAGGTAAAGGTAAAGGTAAAGGTACCCCTGCCCGTGCGGGCCAGTCTTGACAGACTCTGGGGTTGTGCACCCATCTCACTTAAGAGGCCAGGGGCCAGCGCTGTCCGGAGACACTTCCAGGTCACGTGGCCAGCGTGACAAAGCTGCATCTGGCGAGCCAGTGCAGCACACGGAAACGTTTTACCTTCCCGCCAGTAAGCGGTCCCTATTTATCTACTTGCACCTGGGGGTGCTTTCGAACTGCTAGGTTGGCAGGCGCTGGGACCGAGCAACGGGAGCGCATCCCGCCGCGGGGATTCGAACTGCCGACCTTTCGATCGGCAAGCCCTAGGCGCTGAGGCTTTTACCCACAGCGCCACCCACGTCCCTAAAATATATCATAGTACTACATAATTAGAACTTGTATAAACAATTCTTTTTGGGGAGTAATGGCCCCACAATTTTGTTTCAAGGCACAAATATTATTTCCCCCCACTGCTGCCCCAGACTGTGCTTGTTTTATACAACACCAGTATTGCTGGTTAAATGCAATTCACCCTCAAGCTAACGCCTGTTGCCACTGAGACACTACAAGATGACTGCATGATGGTCAGCTACACCTGCTGTTGACAAGAGGAAATTTTCCCTCCCCACCATGCCTGTGCTATTCTGTTATTGTTTTAGAGTTTTTTATTGGGTGAGCACTTCCCCATTTTTAACATCTGAACATTCATTGATATAGCCTATAAAAAGGAGGGGGAAGTAGCCAGCATGAGCAGACCCTGGAGTCTAAAGCTGTGAAGATGTTGTGAAATACTGTTGTTTTCATTCCACAGTACTTGGAACCACCAAGGGATAAAAAGGAACATTTTGCTACCACAGCAAAAATGCAAATTCAGTGTTTATCAACACTGTCTAATTTGCCTAATGTACTCCAGCTACTGAACTGCAGCATTTTAAAATCAAAATTTGAATTTCTTTCCCCTCCAAAGTACTAGCCTCAGTCCTAGAGCAAATTTTAAAATATCCACATAATGAAAAAAAGTGTGAGCCACAATGTGTCATAGCAGTTGTTGTTCTGGGCATAGCAGGACTCTCAACAGTTTGGTACCCACGATGGGCTTGCTTTGGTTACTGCCAGTGCTGTGATAAAACGTTCAAGAAATAAAGAACTTGCCCTCTTCACAGTTCCTTCCCCAGGGAAGCCACACTGCCAACAGCTTTCTCTACACTTGGAAAAGCATCAGAGCTGAAACTATTTGAGCACACAACCCTTAACTGCTTCAGACAAGGTGTACTATAAGCATTTTTCAGTTGCTGCTTTTTAAAAAAGAAAAGAACATTCTGCCCTGAGAAAATCTTCTGACTCTAGGACACCAACAGGTGGTTTTGTAACACCTCATGGACTCAACAAGCCCTTCATCAGTCTGAAAATATCCTGGGATTTATCAAATACCATTTCAATATTGAACTGGTTACTGAAATGCCTGAGCTATACAGAAGTAGAACACACAAATCTGTAGCTAGTGAGCTGTAATTGAGCAGGGATAGGGACCCTTCTAGAAGTTATGATTGCAGGGCCCTATCCTCTTGGGCTGCATATAAAGCATCTATTTAATGCACATTTAAAGGACATGACTTCCCCACCCCACCCAAAATCTGGAGAACTGTAGTTTAAGGGTGCTGGGAACTGCAGCTCTCTGCTGCAACTGCAGTACCCAGGATTACATGTCGTGTACACAGCTTTATACCACACAAAGCACTGTGCACAGTGATACCATGAGCCCCCTCCTGCCAACCTAGCAGTTTGAAAGCACACCAGTGCAAGTAGATAAATAGGTACCAGTGCGGTGGGAAGGTAAACGGCATTTCCGTGTGCTCTGGTTTCCGTCACGGTGTTCCATTGCACCAGAAGCGGTTTAGTCATGCTGGCCACATGTCCCAGAAAGCTGTCTGTGGACAAACGCCAGCTCCCTCGGCCTGAAAGCCAGATGAGCGCTGCACCCCATAGTCCCCTTTGACTGGATTTAACTGTCCAGGGGTCCCTTACCTTTACCTTTATTACCTATGAACCCCAATGGATCAGACCAAAGGTCCTATAGGAAGTCACAGGCCTGAGTGCAACTGCATTCGCCTCATGCGATTTCCAACCAGTAGCATTCAGAGGCATACTGCCTCTGACAGTGGAGGGCAAACATAAGACATCCTGGCTGCATAGCTTTTATTCTCCATAGATTTGTGTCTTCCTCATTCATTCATTCATTCATTATTTGTAACACTGGTGAAAGGGAAGACTTCAGCCTTGTGAGCTCTATTCTGTTATTCTGTATTTTTGCTATATCTCCATTGGATAACTCCAATATCCACCAACCAGAGTCAGGCGTAAAATTGTGGCTGAGTGTATGGAGTCAATCTATTGTGTCTCAAAAGCCATACACTAGAATAATCTGCATATAGGAATATAGATCTGTATTTGTGTCGTGGCAAATCAGGTATATGAACAAGAACTCTTATATACATTGTTAACAAATCAATATTCATATTTTACAAAAGAGGAACACAGAAACCAATATGCAACCAGCAAAAGCCCAGCCATGATAGAGAATTATTTTTAGTTGGAATTTACGGATCTACTGTAAAGCGCCCAGATGTCTACCTGTCGATTTTACTTTTTGCCCATCCATGGGGACTGATGGCTAAAAGCAATACATGTTCAATAAATAAGCATCAACTTACCTAAATTCAAAGGCTTGTGCTGAATGACAGTTTCTGAATACAGCTTCCCTTCATTTTTACTATTTGGTAGCAGAAGAGCACAGTTGCCTTGGCTTTCCTTGTGCTGTGGTAATTGCAGTGAGGATGGTTGGAAGAAAAATGGAACTAAATTACTGGTTTCTTTGAACCTTTAACCAGGAAAAATTGATAACGTAAGAGACCTTTTGCTGAATAGCCATAAACGGATTCCTTCTATGAGCCCTAACCATGGCCAAGACTGGTATTGATGAACTGGAAGAATAAAGATATGGTCCCCTTTAATCGATGGATTGAAGACATGACAGCGCTCACAACATATGAACGGATTGCTTATTGACACAGACTTCATTTGGAGAAATATATTGGCATTTGGAAATAATTTATACAGGTTATAGTAGGCTATCAACAATCATATATATATTACGACAATAACAGTACTTACATATCTATAGAAAAATGCAAGTGTAACTGATTATATTGCGGGGGCTCAATTAGTGCCAGCGCCTTCTGTCAAGAGCTTGGGTGTAACCTTTGACGCCTCCCATTCCATGAAGGCGCAGATTGCAGCCACAGCAAAGGTGGCATTTTTCCATCCCCACCATATTAAGCAGTTGGTCCCTTACCTTTCTTGCCCTGATCTGGCCACAGTGATCCATGCGACGGTCACCTCCAGGCTTGATTATTGTAACTCGCTCTACGCGGGGCTGCCCTTGAAGCTGACCTAAAAACTCCAGTGGGTGCAGAATGCCGCGGCGAGGCTCCTTGCCGCAGGATCACATTCATCCAGTGCTTTACCAACTGCACTGGCTCCCAGTGGAGTACAGGGTCAGGTTTAAGGTGCTGGTTTTGACCTTTAAAGCCCTATGCAGCCTAGGACCCACGTACCTACAAGACCGCCTCTCCTGGTATGCCCCGCGGAGGACCTTAAGGTCCACAAATGACAACATTTTGGAGGTCCCAGGTCGCAAGGTGGTTAGACTGGTCGCAACTAGGGCCAGGGCCTTTTCAGTACTGGTCCTGACTTGGTGGAACACTCTGTCACAAGAGACTAGGGCCCTGCGGGACTTGACATCTTTCCGCAGGGCCTGCAAGACAGAGTTGTTCCACCTGGCCTTTGGTTTGGACTCAGTCTGACCCTTGTTTCCCTCCCCTTATGCTTTTTGATCTATGGGCTATTTTTAAAATGAGGCTGCATTTTAAATTGCATTTTAACCTGGATTTTAAATTAGTTTTTTCCTATTATGTTTTTACTGTAATTTTATTAGTGTTAGCCGCCCTGACACTAGGGCGGGGTATAAATAAATTATTATTATTATTATTATTATTATTATTATTATTATTATTATTTAGTCTGCTATACCCTACTCTATATATCTACAGTGGGTGGGTGGGTGTGGGTGTAATTTTTTTCTTCTTTTTATTTTTCTTTGCACTTTTTTCTTCTTTTTCTGTTTTCACTTTCTTCTGTGAAACTGAAAGTCTCTTAATTAAAAATTATTTGAAAATAAATGGATTCTTGATCTGCTCATTATGTTAAATTTCTCTTTTCAGATAAAGCAGTGTGAGTGCTGTACAAATAAGTAATCAAACTGACAAAATAGAAATGGTACAATACTTCATATTCTCTTTACCCATCTCACCAACAGGATACCTTCTGTCTATGATAGCAATTGACAACTTGGTGCCTTTCTTGGCATTCCTAAGTCAATCTGTCAGTAATATTGCTGGTCTATAGCTTTCCACTCTGGTTTGTAAGTTTCTATGCGGGAGGAGTGCAGAGATGGGTTTCTCCCCTTGTGATCCTTCCCATCCACTTAGCCTAAGTTTGGTTGTCTATGCTCTGATAACCTCTGGCCTGGATTACTGCAATGTGTGTGATACATGGGGCTGCTTCTGAAGACCATTCAGAAATTTCAGCTGGTGCAGAATCTGGCGCCTAGGTTGCTCACTGGGGCAAGATGGTTTCAGCACTGGCTGCCAATTAGCTTCTGGGTCCAATTCAAAGTGCTGGTTTTGACCTATAAAGCCTTAAATGGCTCAGAACCGCAATATCCCAAGAACTACCTTTCTCCAGATGAACCTACCCAAACCGAGATCATCATCTGAGGACCTTCTTCCTGTGCCTCCTTCATGAGATCCAGAGGGTAGCAACATGAGAACAGGCCTTTTCTGTTGTGGCTCTCCATTTTGTGGAATGCTCTCCCCCGGGAGATATGGCTGGCCCCTTCATTATACACCTTTAGACGCCAGACAAAAACATTCCTCTTCAATCAAACCCTTGGTTGATTAACATCTGATACCCTTTTAAATCTGCTGGGAAGATACTTGGTTTGTTTTTGTTCTTATTTATATTACACATTTTGTGGGTTTTATATTGTGTTTTTGTGTTGTGAACTTCCCTGAGATCTATGGCTGAATGGCTGCATGCAGATTTCAATGAATAATAATAATATTTCAGCAGCAAGGATAGCAAGAAAGGAAGTTTAAAAAGGGGATCTTTTTGTTGCATGACATTTGCTTTGCTGGATTTTTCAACAAGGCAATCCACTTGACACCAGAGGCAAGATTTAAAAAACGCAACAATGAACAAAGGGATGGATGAACAAATACTCCCTTTAGCCAGCTCAGTGCTGAGAGGTATCAGTCACATTCTCCTTTCACACAGCCTCTGCAGCATGACTGGCACCAGAGACAAGTTCGGCTTCCAACAAATTAATAAGCTCTTGACATCACTACGAAGCAGAAAGAGGCCTGAAACTTATTGCAAACTCCTATCCAATCATCTTCATTAAAAAGGAGCTTCCTCAACTATCTTAACCTTTACTGCTGTCAGCTGCTAATCATTCTACTCAGTTATTTCATCATGCTGCAATGTAAGAGGGAAATATATACTGAATGGGATCTAGTAATGTGCACCTCGTCATCTGATGAATCCTCCAATTCTATGAGCTTCCCCAAAGTGAACATTTCATCACTGCGAGTCTGAGTTCCAAGGAGTTTGACTGTTGACCCAGACAATTCCTAAAAGAAGTAAATTATAGAACAAATAGAATCAAACAGAATATGGTTTTAAATATAAGACTAGGAGAGTATGGGGGAGGAGTGGGAACTGTAAATTCCACCATGATCCTAAAATGGATCTATATTTGGCAGCTAAGCTTTCTGCTTTATTGGATCCAGAACAGGAATTCATACATGAGGCTAAAAGGCATTAATTGACACATTTGGGTTTGTAATGCAGGTATAATAAACTGATCAAAGTGCTCGTTTCCATTACAAATGCCTCTTCTCTGATTTCTCTTTGGACATTAATAAAGCAGCAGGACAAGAGAGAGGCTCATAGTGTTTTTTGCCCTTTTCTGTATCTGTAATGCACATGCAAAACCTAAAGTGGACAGACTGTACACTCAATTTAACGTGACTCTACTTGCTACCTCACATTAATATTTACATGGTCACACAATTTTTATTTTTTTAAATTATGGACAGCTCCTTATTTTAGTCACTTTGTCATTATAGTAAAAAGAAAGGTTGAGGAAAGTTTTAGTGTTATGTAGAAAAAATCATCTTAGCAACAAAAGACAGCTGTCAATCAATATGCAGCAGAATCCTATTCAGAAGCAAAACCCATTGTATTCAGTGGAGCTTACTCCCCCAGTGACTGAAACCTGAAAAAACTGTTGATCATATACATTTTTCTACCAGTTAATAACCCATGTGCCCTTCATTAGCAGTCTCACAAATTATAAACTGAAACTCATTGATTAATCAACTAACACTGTAATCACATCCCCCTCTGCATTGGGCTGGGGAGGAGCCGGTTTAAGAGGTGTCACTCCACAGGTAACAGAGCTCCCAATTTGTCTGTTGGATGAAAGTGATGCAAGTGGGATCCCCTCCACCCCAAGTGGCAGCTTGCATAAAACCCTAAAACAGGGCATTATGGGAATGGGAAAGGGCTGACCTGACCTGACTTGACCTGCTAGATCTCAAGTCAGCCTCACTATCATCATGTGATGACATCAGACCCAACCGCTGCACAAGCAAATGGTGGCAAAGTTCCATTAAGACTTTTCAGAACTTTACACCTTAAATTAAAAACATCTTCCTTCCATGTTCTGTTACCTCAAAGGAACAATATTAGAGTCAGAGGGTGTAAGTGTTTAATTAATGTTGATGTGTACCTTTGCTAAACAGTACTCAACATTATAGGAAGATCTTGGTGTTAGGAATAGACATTGCTTGAGTTACATGAAGTACTGTGTAGAACTACCATTCTAATTCCACTTCCAGCCAATCATGGAAAAGCAAGGCTTCAACCAAAAGCACTAGGATACGAGTGTTCAATTCATCCACTCAGTGCCTGGCCGTCCCACACTGAACCACTTCTGATTTCAGAAGTGCCAACTATCTAAACCAGAGGTTTTCAACCTTTTGGGGACCGCAGCTCACTTGACCAACTACATTCTTTCTGCGGCTTCCCTGTGGGGAAATGCGCTCCAAGCCTCAGAAGCCCAATTATGTCAGCCCTTGCCTGCAGAGTCCACAGTCCTTTACCCTTTGCCCCAAAGAGAGGTGCCTCTTCACTCCCCACTTGTCTATCCATTCCCCACAGCAAGGACTAGTGGACTGACTGGCTGGGCTCCCTCACCCACTTGCTTGCTTACTCCAAGGCCGCCTCAGCTCCTGGCAACCGGCACCCCCTGGCCAGCCCCAAAGGCACCATTTGCTAGGGGAAGCTTATAGCAAGGCCTGCAGCAACCAACAGCCACGCAAGCCCTAGGGGGGTAGAGACGCAAGAGGGCAAAAAACCACATACAGAAAGAAGAGAGATGAAAAAGTGTGGTATCTCAACATCCCAGAGACAAATCTCAAGGGAAGAAGAGTCCACCAGAAGAATCTGATTCCTTTGTTCTGCAATACTGATATTTGTCAACTCATTGTGATAATTAGGATCATTTTCACCCCTCATTTCACAATTACAAAACTGATCCTCTTGGAAAGTCTGTAGCTTCTTGCTTTCCTCTCCCTTCCATTTGGTTGTTGGTAGGACAAATCAAATAGTCCTACATGAGCTGGCTCTAGCACAGACACATCTACAAGATAGTCACAAATATAGCTGCAGAGAGGCTGGCTTGCAAGTAATTACTCTGAGCTAGCACAGATTAACCTGCATGTGCGACAGCTGATTTACACCTGTCTATTCAGTACATCCACAAGATGAAGCAGCAGCAGACTGCTCCGAAGGCCATCACAAACACACACTGGGGTTCAAAAGTAGTGCTGCCCCATTATCAGATTTTAAGTGGCCATTACAAGCTCAAAGTTAATCTGCATCAGTTTACAAATTCGTAGAGTTGTGTACATAACCAAATGCCTATGTAGTTCAGAACACTGAGACAGAACTACTTATTAACTTTCAGAGAACAGGCCCAGCTTTAGGCGTTGGTGTGATTCAGGGGAATATGACTCTTCACGTCAAGCCTGATAACCTCACAATCTTTTATCCGCTGTATTTCCAGAGAACCCTAGAAGAAATGTCAATCTAGCTTAGTGCTGCCTACAATGGTTGGCATAGGCTCTCACAGGGACATTCTCGGCCCTACTTGGAGATGCCACACATGAAACTACTTTGACCTTTTTTTATAATCACGTGGTACATTTCATGAAATGAAATTAAACAAATATTGGACATGCATGCTGAGCTACAGCCCTTCTGATGTTAACATGCCCAAAGGGCTAATAATTGAAGCTGCAGTCCAAGCCCTACTTACTCCCAATTTAATGGGACTTCTGAGAAGACTGCAACCTTAAATTTCAATTAGCACCCTAAAGCTGGCCAGTTTTAACCTGGAACAAGGCATCTACGGTAGGTAATTAATGGTTACTCAAGGGGATAATTAATCAGAGTCAGCTTATTTCTATCCCAGTGCTGTAGTGGTATATCCTACCTCTTTATTATTAAATTTAAAGGAGCTATGTTGCATAATCATACTGCAACTTGAGAAATAAGATGGTAAAGCCTTGAGTTCAAATACTGCATTAAAATTAGATTACTTAATCTTCACCAAACCATAACCATAAAGCAATGAGGACAGTAAGAAGATGACATACGTAAAAGACCATTTTTACACCGTGAGATTGATGTGGTCGCAGGCTTTCTTCCTCCTTGGACAGAAAGAGAACACACCAATTATAAACCAACTTTTAAAAGCAATCTGTTTTTTAGTTGGCTGATTAAGAGAAATATCTAACAGATCACCCATCCCCCACACTCACTGTTTCCCATCAAGATCAGCAAAGAACACCTTTCCAACCATCAGTGTTCAAAATCCAGATAATTTTTAAAGAGTGTACAAGTGTTCTCTGAAGCTTGCCAAGTATGGCAGGAGGAATTACATTTCTTACTCTGGTGGGATTGGCTGGGGCTTTTATCAGGGAATTCTGTAGAGGTCTCATTTTAGGGCCAGTTTTCATAGAGGATATTTTTATGTTATAAATAGTCCTGAAACTTTGACAGGATAAAATAACAAATCCCATTTTTTAAAAAATACAAATATTCAGGTTTTCTACTTCACCAGGATTCTTAACCCAGGTTTGAAACTAATTAGAATTTTTTAAATTATTTTTTATTTTTCAATTTTACAAATATTTTGACTAGGTTTACAGTCAATGTGCCAAATCTTAATGACCCCCTCCCCTGCATATCCAATTCAAACATGTTTACTAAATTTTCCTTTTGTATCCCCTTTAAATTGTAACTGCACATTTTTATGTCAATCCTGCTAATGACTTAAGTTGTTTACAATAATTTTTAAAACAGTCCACAGATTTTCCCTATTCTATATTAGGTTTGAAGCTAATTAGAAATCACTGGTGAAGTGGGAAGGCAGGTTATTTGGGACTTACATTTTTAGACTATTTTAATTGATACATTTTACCAAGACTGCCAGCCTCTTTGAGCTTCCTGTCTGGGATGTAAAGGTAAGATACATATGACAAACATGGGTATTACTTAACGGCTGCTAAGGCCAGGTAGGAAGAATTTACAATAAAAAGCATGTGGAATAGGAGGAGGGAATATGCTATCCTAATTGGCTTACTCTTGGTCCCTTAACTACAGTAGTGTTTGCACCAGGCTACAGTGAACATGCTACTACAACCACACCTGCACAGGACTGTTTTCTTCGGATGGTTGAGTATTCACACTTTCTTCTACATTGTTGATCTCGCCATCCAAGTCCACTTGGTGATCACTTGACATTCTTTTCTCAATGAGCTTGGTAACTGCAGTGCCATCTGTGAATGACTGATACCCTGACTTGCTCTCCAACTGTGGAAAGTCAAGACCATGATTTAAAATAACATCTCCACACTCCAAGTCTCTGAATTTGTTTTCTTCATCTGTGTTTTCTTCATCAGAATCTTCCTGATCTATAACTTCATCAATTTTCAGAAGAAACCAGCAACTATCCATATTCTTGTTCCCAGACAAGGTATTGTTTGGGTTTACAGTCTCATGTTCTTCCATACCCACTTGTTCTCCGAGAAATTCTTCAGCCGATGCATGCATAGAATCTGAAACAATTCTTTCTCCTATGGACAACTCACTTTTCATTATGTCAGAAACTGTGTCCTTCAAGTCTAATTTAAGATTGGCCCCTGAAACAAAGTTAGGTTCAAATTCAGAGTTTGCCTGACATATGTCTCCTTTCTTAACAGTTGTATCAGGCAACAGAGAAGAAGCACCCATTCTTCTGGATATTTTGGAGACCTTGGTTTCACTAAATGTATTTTCAGATGAAAAAGAGGAATAAATTTTGTGAGTCTGTAAAGCTTCTGTATGAAAAGTAGCTATCAGATTTTGACTAGTATCACTGACTGATGTTTCTCCTAAAAAGCTAGGTGATGTGTCCAGATCTTGATACTCTTGATACTGCGTCTCATGAATTGGAGAAGTATCTAAACACTCTTTCTCTTTTTCAATTTCTTCTTCATCACAAAGATGGATAATGGAATTATCATAGCATGATTCCTTAGAAGAAAATCTTGCAAAAATACCTTCATCACATAGGGCAGATATATCTGTAGATTTTGCTCTTTCAGCTTTAATGCTAAAATCATTATTTGTTTCCCCAGGGTCTGATTCTCCAGAACTTAGCACTTGAACAGAAGTGTCGAGTTCCAAGCCACTTTCCACCTTGTTCACTTTTTCATATTCCAGTTGTCCCCCAGCATTCTTAATCTTGGGGGATGTCTTTAGCTTTTTAGTACAGTTTTTATCCAACAAGTCAAACAGGGCAACCCTTAGTTTTTCATAAATACCGTCCTTCCTTTTGTTTTGCATTTTCTGTGGCAATTTCTTTGGATTCGGATGCATTAAACAATGTTTTTGTTTTCTTTGCTGGTTGGTATCTTTCAAAAGCACATAGCAAGGCTTTGTTAATTTTGTTGCTATACCTTTCATTCTGCTTGGCCAAGGTTCTGACAAAGTTTCAGAGGCCAACAGACTGTGTAAGATTTTTTCAGATGGTACGGATTCCTTTCTGAGACCTTATCTGCAATGTCTTTCAGAGTAAGAGCTAACTGTTGCTTGTACTGTTCTTTCCCTGCAAGGTGCTCATTGACCCATGTTGTTTTCTCCACCTTGACTGCAACCTGCCTATTCCGGGGAATGCTGCAAACTGTGGTAGGAAAGAAAAGTTTTTAATTATGGTAGTGGTGTGGTGTAAGCCACAGCATCAGCTCTGCCTCCTAATCCCCCCCAATGTCTCTAAAAACTAATGTACCCTATGCACGGTCAAAATATATAGGCTGAACCAAAATTAACATTTTAAAAAATCAGCTTTGCACACACTCTGCAGAAGCCACACATGTGCAGAATGTACATGTTCACATTAACAGATAAGCTCAGCATATCTAGAGGTGTTCCTTCTTGCCAGATGTTGTGATGCTACTATCCACATAGAATACATGTTCATATCAGCCTAACAACTAATATTACCATCGTACACTTTGAAACTCCCTCCACAGGAATATAGGTACAGCCTCATCACTTTAAAAAAACACGCCAATGAAAGCATGCTTACTCAAGCCTGTTTTGCAGAATTCTGTTTATATATATATATATAATACAAATATATATATATATAATACAAATACATATACACACACACACACTGTGTGTGTATATATACAAAATACACACACATACCTACATTTTCCCCTATTTAAATGATTTCCATGTGTTTAAGTGTCTTGTATGCCCAGAAAGGCAGGTTTAAACTACTTTTGCTTTTAAAAGCTGCCCAGATTTCCACCGTCAGTAAAACAATATATATTGTTCTGGGAAGAGGATAGGCTGGCTTGGAACCTAAAGAGCTCTTCCTAACTCCTATTTCCCTCCAGAGCAAACCCCCGTCTCTCCTATCGATTCTAGAACACCCCTCTCCCTTCCTCACAAACGATTCAAAAAAACGAGACGGGTGTGCCAAACAGGCGCAGGATGGGGAAGAACAATTGCGGGGAGGGAAAATGCAGAGTCAACAAGCACGCGCTTCTCCCTTAACGATTGCCACACGAGCCTCTTTCCCGGGCGCTGGCTCCCTCCTACGCCTCCTCGCGCTCCACCCGCAGCGCCGCCTGCGCCAGCGCGACGCGAAGACGGGGCGGGGATAAATAGGAATCTGCGCCACGTGATCTTGGATCAAGCGGGAAACTTGCAGATTCTTTGCCTAGACGCACGTCACAAAGAGGAGGAGGCGAGGCTTGGGGTTTGAAAAGGAAAGGCCGTTGGCCGGCTGTTAAGAGTTGTGTGGGCGGGGCCTGCCCTCGGGCAAAATTGACAGAAAAGCAGCAGGAGCGTTTAAAAATGGTTTTTCCCCTCTCCTTCGGAGCGGATGAAAGTCGTTTACAAAAAAGAGTAACACAAAATTATCAACGTGCGTTTTGGCACCCGCCCTTCTCCGGGACATAAGCGCAAATTATCAATAAAAACAGTTTAAAACTTTTAATAAAGAATTCAGCATTTTAAAAAATCAACGCTTAAATGCTGCATTTTCACAGGTCACATCAGAGAAGGGGTGAAATTCACCTGACACGAGAACTTTTTCATTTACCACCTTCCCTAACAAGGGGGCTGCAGAGGGTGTTGACACAATGGGCTTTCTTGGGGGTGGCTTCCAACCTATGCAACATTCTCCCCTGGGAGACACACCTGGCACCATTTCTGTCTTTTTGGCCCCAAGCAAAAATGTTCCTCGTCCACCAAGCCATTGGCCTTTAATTATCTGCAGCATCCTTCCGTGGGTGGGATGCCATAGGTCTGTCTTTATAGATAAGAACATGTTTTTAGCTTTGACTCTGTTTTAGTTTTCAGTTGGTGTTAATGTATGTTGTTTTTATTTTGTAAGTTGCTTTAAGTTACTTTTCATTTAAAAAAACAACCCCTAGAAGAACTACTAGAAAGTGCAGTTAAAAGGTATGTGCAGAATGCCTCCATCCCACAAGAACCAACATGTAAAGAGAAAGAAAACAGTAATAATAATAATAATAATACAAAGACAAATTGGCTCTGGGAAATAAACTTTCCTTGTCACCTTCCTTCAGATGCTGATCCCAAGAGTCCAAGGTTCATATAGGGGAAAGGCAGTTCTCTTCAGTATAGGGGTCTTAAACTGTGTAGGGCTCTGAAGCAAAATTGCTCTAAAACAAATTAGCAGCCAGACCAGAACCAGTTTTATGTTCATTTCTTCTTGTTCTAGCCATATTCTGCACTAGCTGTTGTTTCCAAACCATCTTTAAAGACAGTCCCAACATCCAGCACATTGCAATAGCCTAACCTGTAAGTTATCCAAGCATAGACAATTGAAGCCATTCCTTTCAATGAAAACTTGCATGCCAGGTACTATAAGCCAGTGTTGAAGCAATGACCCACCTTAAAAAAAAATCAAACAATTTAAACTGCTGGGTGGAGAAGGCAGTTAAGTACCACTATAAACCCTGATAGACCATGGTCAAAAAACATTTCTTGCAGGCCACACCTGAGGAAGGTGAACTGCTGCTATCCAGCTGGAACCTGTTCGGGGGATAGTCTGCTTCTTTTCATGTATTTTACAAATGTATTTAAATCCAGTTCATTATGATCTGCAATCTCAGTCTCTTTCCAGAGCTAATTCACAATTATATTGGTAAGCAATAGGGTATCATGTTTATCAGAGGAGAGACGGAAAGAAATGGTGGAATGTATAGCTACTATGACTTTCTTATGAAAGTTGGGTTATTGACATGTGTCAATATACCCTCATAAATGTATGAATTTTAAAAAATGATTATCTGGTAGACTGGGGGTATGATTGGAAACAATAGCTTGCTGATACTTTGGAAAAGGAACTTCCACATCTCCCTTTAAGGTTTTTCTATTTAGATGAACACTACTAGTCTTGTAAGCTGATGAGGAATACACACATGCAAACTCCAGCACTGAATAAGCTTGCAAATACCTCCCTCCCAATCTCTGCAGGAGATCCGATCTCAAACTACTTCAGTACTTCCTGCTTATTGATTGTATTCTAAGCAAAGATAAAGAGCAACTTCAGAGTTTCATTTACCTAAAAATAAGTTTCTATGAATCAGCCTTTACAGAGTCGGAATATGGAAGATGCCACCTTCTCAAAACTCAGTTGTTTTCTGAAAGCAGCAGATATTGAGGTAATGCTCTGTAACATCACAGTTAATGTTCACCTAGTGTAAAACCATGGTTTCCTGGACAAGTTGCAGAGACTTGGGGCTGTGTATTCCCTTCATGATTTGTACGTGATGGGTTTAGAAGCATTTGCTTACATTTTTAAACAAGCTATAGTTCCGCATGACAGTCATACTGCAAAATTGCAGCAGGCTTAAACTCAAATCAGTGAGAACAAGCCAGGATCAAATCACAGAATCACAGTTGAAAGGGACCACGAGGGTCATCTAGTCCAACCCCTTGCAATGCAGGAATCTTACACCCAGTGTGGTGCACAACCCTGAGATTAACAGTCTCATGCTCTACGGACTGAGCTATGGTGACTTCAAATCCCATTTTCTTTTTTAAAGCATATGCTTCAGATTTCCTCCTTTGGTGCACAAAACAGTTTTGGAGTGTAGAAAATTCATCATAACTCATTCACATTGCAGGAAATCATGGTTTCCCATAATAACAGAGCTGGGCTCAAGTGTAATTAGTGAATTGCCAGGTTTTATATCGCATTTGCAGTGAGATCCAGCCAAGGACTTTAGACAACTGTGTTCTACTGAGCACTATCTTACTAGCTGGTAACAGCCATATTTTTAGCACAGTGATTGTCTTGTGGATGTCGATGCATGTGATGGCCACAGCTCACCACATCCAGGAAAAAGATGCTTCCACAGCTCAATATCTCATTTGCACACTGCTCTTCATGCAAGGTGCCAAGGGCACCATTCATGTGACTGTCCTTTATCACAACCATCATCTTAACATTGTATTACCAGAATCACTTAGCAATATGAATCAATCCTGGCCTCCCCAAACTCAGTCTACCCAGTACATCACACTGGCTCTGTCAGTACAGGGGATCATTGGGCTCTTGCTCTTGACAAGCCAGCATGAGGCCAAAGCCTGGACCTGAGAAAAATCTGATGCTGATCATGGTGCATTTCATTCCTAGCTTCCCAGATACCAAGAGGCACAGCAAAACATAAGTGCTCATTCCTGGATCAATTTTTGTCAGACTGCATACCTGACACACACAGCTATTTGTCTGAAGAAAGTATCTTGTACCAGTTTGGCATGGTTATTCTACTAAAGTGGTGCATACAAACCCCCTCTATCCCAATTCACAGGACCACCACCCTCAGGTACTTGCCCTGACATACCACCAGAGCTAGTAGTTGTAAACAAAATTCACTGAGAACCAGGGAGGAGACTTTATACAGTAAGAACTTTATTGCACTGTGTTCCAAGTGCTGAACCAGAAATGTTTGTGCCTGTTGAGCCTGATTCACAATGAAGCTCTAGCATTTCTACTCTATGACAGAACGTGCATCCCTGTGCGCTTAACCGCCCCACCTTCTCAGTTCTGTTAAGGTTGCAATACAAGCTAATATACTGTAATACATCGATGTGAAATTAAAAGGGGGAGAAACAAAACTATACATAGGAAAAACAAAAGTAATCCACTTGTTCTACAAGTCTGGGGCTGTTTTATATTTGGCTACAACATCTTAAGTTGTAGCTTTTTTTAAAGCAAAAAACTCTTACATGTGTTGTAGAAGTGAGACTAGTTACAAGGACAATTTGTGCCTTTATGTGCACTAGGGCAAAATGGGACAGAAGATGAGGAGGAAAATTCAACAACCTGCTATTTTCCACATTTCTTAACCTATAATCATTGTTCCAGATAAGCACTCTTTAACGCACAGTCCATGGTACTATGATCACTTACATGTTTTAAATATAATGCCAACACCCACCCCAAATATATGCCATATTTTAGAGGAAAGATGGCATTTGTGGCCAACAGTTTCAGACTTAAGTCTATTAAGCCACCCACAAATTAAAGTGATTGGCATAGTACCATCACAATTAGATTGATTTAAGTCTGTATGGAGCTTTAAAGACTGTGATCCACTTTCTGAACTCAAAATGTTTAAAGGGAATGTTAAGTGATCAGATGCAACGCAGAAATAGTGCCCTGTTTAGAAGGTCTGTAAGGCCTTGTCTATACCCACTGAAAGAGCTGCTGAGAGTGACTTACCAAAGCCTTTGACACTGTGCAAGAGACTAAACTGCAAGCTAATTCATAATTTTAAGTAGCCAAACAAATTTTAAAATAGAAGAAAGGGACACGGGTTCTGTTGGCACTGCAACTGTGGACCCACTTTAGCCAAAGCAATTTCCTAGAGAGGTCACCTAAAACTGGCTAAGCACAAGCAATGCTCTTCTGCCCTTCTGACCAAAATTCAGGACACATTCTCCGTATTTATTACGCTCTGAATACAGCATATGCCTATGAGGCATTGGTTGTGTGCAACCAGCAAGGCTCCCTTAAGAACCTGATGAAAAGTCAGAAACAAGGCAATCAGTGGTTACAGTAAACTATACATGAGCCCAGTCTGGAAAAATACAGGCATTGAGAACTCAAGATCAAGAGATGCCAATGGGCACCAAAGCCCTATTAGAACTAGACTTCATTCAAGTTTATTCCCTTCAGAGAGGCGAGGATCATTCAGACAAGCAGCACACAGCCTTCCCATCCAGATTTTATAACAGGAGTTGTTTTAACCTTAATCACACACACATGCCTATTCTCTTCCTATGCTGTGTCAGTTTTTCTGCCTAAATGGCAGGAAGCTAACGTCCAAATTATTTAGAGAATGTTGGTGGGCAACATTTCAGCACAGAGGATCCCATCTGAAATACCTGCTTAATGCGTGTGATTTGGACATCCACACATGACTCTTTTAGCGGGATCAGATCCTCAGTTACAGAGTCCCAAGGGTTACAAAGTAGGCCATCCTTCATTTCAAATGACTGTTTACATGTTAACTGAATGATAACTGAAAATGTTCAGTTAAGAAAAGGACTTTCACCCATTGTGATAGGTTTACCAAAAGCAACTCTCCCCAAATGCCTGTCAGCTGCAAACGCAATGTACAGCACTTCTTGGAACACCCACTTGGGATTAAGGCTGCCAACCACATACTAGCTATACAGGCGCTCCTTAAATTCTGTCTGCCATCTTTCACCAGTAAGAGGAATAACTAGTACAAAACTAAAAAATAAATTTGGGCTAGGACCTAAGTGAGGGATACTGTCCTGCTCCAATGGTTTCTGCACAGTCTGATACTCTGGTTTTCCTTGAGACATAGAATTCATTTTATTAATTTATCTCTCTCCAAAAAGTTAAAAATACAGAAGGTTCAAATAATGCTCATCTCTTGGCAGATGTTCAGACTGCAACATGAGAAGACAATTCTTCACTGAAATGTTTACTTTTAATTTTATTTTTTATCACAATCATCATCATTGGGACAAAGGCAGAGGAGCACCCACTCCACTACGGTAAATATGTCGTTCAACTCCAGAATTACATTTCCAGGTTCCACGAGTCCAAAAAGACAGCCATGATAGCGTCAAGACTTCATGGAGGGCCACCCCCTTACTGCATAATGCAGTGGCCGTTGGCATCTCTGAAGCGTAATCGCATCTTCGGTCGGTATTTCTCAAGGTAGAGCAGTTGTTTAGAATTGAAAGCTCCCCTCCTCTTCCTGAAACAGAAGCACATCCAAGACATTAGATCTCAAGCACATACACTAAATGCATTTCTCCAGTTGGAGGCAGCAATACCAGTTGCTCTGGTGCTTGAATTCTGCTTGCTGGTTTCCGACAGGCAACTGTTGAGCCACTGTGAGAGTAGGATCCTGGCATCATCCAGCAAGTTTGTCTGACATTCTTAATAGACCTGCACAGACCTCCAAGCCTGCACAGCTCACACCTAACTTCCTATACGGTACCTCTGCTTCATTTCAAGCTTGGCAGAAGGCAAGAAAAAGAAAACAGGAGGTGCATATGCAGATGAAACTGGATCTATAAATTATCAGTAGGACTGCAAGCTTTGATCAGTTTAATAGGTTGATCAACAAAAGCTTTAGTTAATTAAGACAGAGTTATTACATTACTGTCACTCTTTCTTTTCTGCAACGTTAGCCTTAAACCACAAAGGAAAAGCTCACTGCAGCTCCTCCCCATGCTAGTGTCAGTCTTTGGAAAATGCATTAAACACTGGCATGGAGGTCCACAAACTTGTTTGCCAAACACAGGTGTATTTTTCATTCTGATGAGATCCCCCCAGACCATATATTGAGCCTTAAGGAACTCATATGGCCCCAGGCTTATCATGTTACCTGGTGGCGTTGGAAAGATATGGCTCCTACACCATCAAGGTAACCCAAGAACCCAGCCTAAATAGTGACGGCCAAATTCTAATCTGTGAGGAAAATTAATAATATATTATTATTATATATTAATAATATATTATTCAGGTTCAAAATCCTACTCAGTTTATGGAACTCATTATGTGACTTTGGGTCATTCACCAGTGTCAGACATGATAAATCTATGGTTTGTTGAGATGAAAACACACTCCAGTGTACCTTGGGCTCATGCACTCCCCTTCTTCCTCCTTTCAGCATATTATTAAAGTGTCCATTACAGTGGTACCTCTGGATGCGAACGGGAACCGTTCCAGAGCCCCATTCGCATCCTGAGCAGAATGCAACCCGTTTCTGCGGGTCGCGATTCGCCGCTTCTGCGCATGACATCATTTTGAGCATCTGCGCATCCGCGAGCGGCAATACCCGGAAGTAACCCGTTCCGTTACTTCCGAGTCGCCATGGAGCGCAACCTGAAAACGCTCAACCTGAAGCGACTTTAACCCGAGGTATGATTGTTTAAATATCCTGGTTTAATTAATTATGGTTTGGACAACTCAATTTGCCTTAACTGGACAAAACAGGGAACTGCAGTTTAAATACACAAGCTGAAGCTTTAACTTTAACATGACTCCCGATATGACCTTTCAGCCCAGCCTACCTAATACAGGATAAAATGGGGTGGGGAGATCATGTGCGCTACTCTGATCTTGTTGGAGGAAAGGTAGGGTAAGAATACAATAATCAGTAAACACAGGCTGTATTGACATGCCTATCTCTGCTCTGAGGTGAACTCATCAGGCTACAGTTCATGTGGAGCGAAGTGTCTCATTAAAATAAATAAAGAAAAGCATGATGTGCCTAAGAGCCATCTACCTCGTATTTTAAAAGCAGAAGGAGGGGGCTCCATTACCTGCTAGCCCCCCCCCCAACTCTGGATTCCTTTGGAATGACTGACTTCTACTAGCTGGGTTGTAGCAAAGCAATGTCTAAGATCAGCAGTGCCAGCCAAGACAGGCTACATTTATTCACTATTCCAAAAGACTTGGTCAGTTTCCCAATAAAGAAAACGGGGGGGGGGGGGGCAGTTCTGTAGCTTGCTTGTTCTTAAGTGAATGTTATATCCAAGTGGCCCAAGTCACAAGCCTAGCTAATTCTGTCTAATCACCACCCAGAAGGAGGGACTGTGCCTAGGCCTCAAACATTTTTGTATGTCACAAGCTCAGCAATGCTATGAGGAAGCAGCAGCTGCTAACCAACCTTGTGACAGGAGATTGCTCAATGCAAAGAAAGCTATAGAAAGTGAGAAGAGGGGCAACACTTACTGTCTTATAAACTGCACAGCGTCCTCATACTTCATTCCACATTCAATGAGTGCTAGGGCAACCAGAACTGGGGCTCTGGAAGGAGAAGAGAAATCAATACAAATTTAAACTAGGTCCAGTAAACCTCTCAAAAATAGATCCAATTAGTGCAGCCATGGGCCCAAGACTGCTTCTCTCTCTCTCTCTCTCAGCTACAGAACAATATTGGCCTGCTTTGTTTAATGCTGCGTGCAGTATGAAATCGATAGCTTTATGGGTGCCCAATATAGGACAGCAACACTGTCTGCATATTTCAGTTAAAAAGTTTATCAACTATAATTGAGACTAGATGGGCGATGCATCTTAAAGAAAAGTACCTGCCACCTGCAGTTTTTAAAAATACTTTAAAATATTTATTTTAAAGATTTTCCAATTAATCAAGGGAATATTTAAGGTCAAAATGTTTTGATAAACTGATCCATTGACCAAATGTTAACAGTCCTGCTGGCAAAGTAGCTCAGGGCAGCAGTTCCTGGCACTCCAATTTTAGCAAGTGCATTGTTTCACAATATTGATCATGTTGAGGAATGCAATTGCA